TTTCTTTCATCTTTTTGATAGAGCCTATTTCATGATATATAGAAATCCACAATACCAAAGACTATGGAGGGTATATTTGAAAATGAAAGATAGGTGATTATAGCCCACATTTTGTAAAGTGTTAAAATATATTCAAAAATAAATTCCTAGGCCACATGAAAGAGAAGTTACAATTATTTGTGGCTTGATACTTTGGACGAGTCAATATCGTTATAACACTATCTCCTTGGTTAAAACCAATCACCTCTCTTAAATTTTTTGTAATTGAATTGGTTCATTAGAAGCAAGTTGGAATTATCAAGAAATATTACTATTTAATTTAACTCATTTTCAATAATTATGAATAATCACTTCAGAATGATGTCTATTTATGCTCCATATAACGCTCGAAAGTTTTGCTTACACATTGATATGCTTTATTGTAATACACTATTCAACTAACTAAGCGGCTTATTTTCTAATTAAGAAATTATTGACTTACATCATGGCAATTCCATAAGCATATATTCCTTATGCAAAGTTTTTGGCCGGATGAAGGATTCGCCGCTAAGGTTCATTGCATATATTTCACGCAGTTCTAATTTAAAATGAATAGAGAAAAATATAATGAAAAAGGTTTTACTCGACGACATATGTGACTCTGTAATTTACATAGACTAGTTCATTTAAATGTTAAAAACTTAAAACCCTAACTTATCATAGAGGAAAATTTCGTCGATCATTAAGTTTCTGTTTTGTAGAGATTTTTTAAGAATAATTTTGTTGTAAAAATGATTTTTTTGAGAAAATGTGTTGTTAATATTTAAAAATTAAGAAAAATTATGAATTCACTTGCAAAGTTATTGGATAAAGTAATGAGCACAAGAAAATTTTTACTGAAGCTGATGTGTCAACTCGCAATTGGATTTTTTTTCATCTTTCAATGATGTCGTGCTATGTGTTATTTATAAAGATTTTCTGTTAAAAAATTATGTATTTCTAGCATGAAGGAAAGTTATTTTGTGTAAAATAAAATTTTAAAAATGTGATCGAATTTGGACTAAATATGTGGACAGTTGTCCATTGAATGATTGATTTTTATTTTGTCTGTTAAATAAAAAGGTGACATGACAAGATACGTAAACAATATTTGTGTTCACCTTTCGGTTGATTATATTATACCAAAGATTGACATGTCATTTTTTATTTTTTCACATAATTAATGAATTTAAACCGGGCGACTGGATGAATTAGAAATAAAGATTTGGTGTCCCTATAAAGTTCAATCGTGGGCTAGTCGTTTTCAAATCAAGTCACAATTGCGTGTTATAAACAGATTGTCTTATCGTGCTATGAACAAATAATTCAGAAAAAAATTGTAAATGAATAGCAACTCAATTGAAATTCAGTACCAACGGGAAGTACTTAAACAAATAAAAAATATATCTATTTTAATTTGAAAAGAGCAATTATTTATTTCAAAAAACTACTAGCATATAAAAATTCTCTCACAATCTTTCAAGTCTTTGGCTCCCATTAAATTAAGTTCATTTTTTTCTCTTCTAGTTTCAATCACATAATTTTTCATAAAATAATATTACATGTAAGTTGAAAACATTTCCTTCTTTTTCAATAAAAAAAAAACCCACTATTCTACTCATTAAAAATTTGAAATAATAGGGCCAAACGGGGCACTCAAAATATAGAAAGAGTTATAAGAGTGTTTTCAAGATACTTTCTATTTTAAACAGTATATTTTTCAAGTTAAAGAGCATCTATAAATTTAAAAAATTATTTTTTTAAGTACTCTTAACATGTTTTTTTTATTTAACATTTAATTTTATTAATCTCAAAAAATATTAATTATGGGTAATTGGCACAAAACGTCCCTACCTTTCAAGTCTATTGTGGAAAACGTCCCTACCTTTCATTTTTTGGCATTTTTGCCCTCATTTCAACATTTCTTTGCGCTGGACGTCCTTCCGTCTATATTCCTTCAGTTTTTCCGTTAAACATTCGGGTAATTGGCACAAAACGTCCCTACCTTTCAAGTCTATTGTGGAAAACGTCCCTACCTTTCATTTTTTGACATTTTTGCCCTCATTTCAACCTTTCTTTGCACTAGACGTCCTTCCGTCCATATTCCGTCAGTTTTTCCGTTAATTAAATACAAAAATATCTTTTTCTTTCCATAAACAAGGGTAAAATTGTCCTCACCCACTTCACCCCTTTTTCCCTCCATCAACTTAGTCCATAAGTAACAGTAGCAGCAACATGAATCTGAAAATATTTTAAATGATTAAGTTAAATAAAGAAAAAATATCGTGAACACATTATATTTCACAATTCCACAACTACTGTTGCTGTCATCTTGTGTCACTGGAAAAATTTAGAAAGACATATTAAATGGGTAGTCAATTTATAATGAGTCAATTTAAAATGAGCCATTTATCTTCTCCATTGAGCCAAAAAGAGCCATTCACCATTTTGGCTCATTATAAATTAACTACCCATTTAATATGTCTTTCTAAAATTTTCCAGTGACAGAAGATGACAGCAACAGTAGTTGTGGAATTGTGAAATATAATGTGTTCACGATATTTTTTCTTTATTTAACTTAATCATTTAAAGTATTTTCAGATTCATGTTGCTACTACTGTTACTTATGGACTAAGTTGATGGTGAGAAAAAGGGGTGAAGTGGGTGAGGACAATTTTACCCTTGTTTATGGAAAGAAAAAGGTATTTTTGTATTTAATTAACGAAAAAACTGACGGAATATGGACGGAAGGACGTCCAGCGCAAAGAAAGGTTGAAATGAGGGCAAAATGTCAAAAAATGAAAGGTAAGGACGTTTTCCACAATAGACTTGAAAGGTAGGGACGTTTTGTGCCAATTACCCTTTAATTAACGGAAAAACTGACGGAATATGGACGGAAGGACGTCCAGCGCAAAGAAAGGTTGAAATGAGGGCAAAAATGCCAAAAAATGAAAGGTAGGGACGTTTTCCACAATAGACTTGAAAGGTAAGGACGTTTTGTGCCAATTACCCTATTAATTATCTTTCTCTTTCTTTTATTTTCATTAGCTTCCCCCAAATTATTATATTATTATTATTTTTATTGAAAATTGAAATATGTTGAATGCATTTAACTATAAAGAGTAGATTTAGCTTTGTAAATTTGAAGAGTCAAACTTACTCTCTAAATTAAATGTTAATTTAAAAAGTCTCTTGGAACATAATTTCAAGAGTTAACTCTTTAAAATATAGATCATTTTATATTTAAAGGGTCTCTTGAAAATACTCTACTAAGATTTTATCCACATTGGTCAATTTTAATACACCTAGCCCCTTATTGATTTAGATAAAAAGTTAATAAAAATTTAAGTCATAATTATTTAACCACATATTCTATAGTATCTACAATTTTTATTAACTTTAATAACATTTCATCGAATTTTATCAAAATTGACTAGCAAAACAGATGCTCATTGAAGTTGTTTAGGGTGCAAGAAATCAAAAATCTTGCAGAAGTCAAAAATCCTCTTTAACACGAATAATTTATTATTTCATTTTTCATATCTTAAGAAACCATGCTACTTATAGAGATCAAAGTCACAATCTAATTGGAAATATTTTTCATGAACTTAAAGAAAACTATACATATAAATAATATTAAAATTTGGTTCTGAAAATGATTTACTTAACCACGATTAATTGTTGTTGAGCTTCAATCCTTATTTCTTCCTTCATCCTTCTTATGAAATCTTCAAATTTCTTGTTTAATTCTTCTGTACTCGTATGATCTTCTTCTTCTTCTTCTTCAACTTCTTGTCTGTACACTTGTTCATCGTCTAAAAACCAGCCATTTTCAGTCTCAATTTCCTTTTCCACTTCTTCAAAAAGGCAGTTTCCTCCACCACCGCCGTCACTGCCATCCACATTCAGTGACTCGCTTTCTGCTTCTTCCCCACCATATACGCCATTTTGCACCAAAGTCTCCTCCTCTAGCAAGCCACTTTTTGAATCAGTTTCCTTTCTCACATCTTCGAAGTGGCAGTTCCCTCTGCCACCACCACTGCCATCTACAGTCAGTAACTCCCTTTCAGTTTCCCTTTCACCTTCTTCAACTACACAATTTTTCACTAAAACTTCCTTCTCTAACAGGGCTTCTTTTATTTCAAGCAATATTTGCAGCTCACCAAGATCAAATCCCAAGGAAGAAGGAACTAAACCAGAGGTTTTTGCAAGAAAAATCAGTAGTCCATTGCATATCAAAAATATGCAATTTTTGTTCCAGGCATGCACGCTTGGGAACTGGATAGAGACCAATGAAAAGTAGGAAAAAATGGAAGTAAATACAAACACTGAGAATAATAATGGAATGATGATCTTCTTCCTTAGATTTTGAGCCTCCATTTCATTTCACGTGCAGGGGGGCTCGGAATGGGTGCAGAATTGTGCAATGAGGAAGAAATTATAAGATCTCAGATGTGTCAATCCATAGTGGGTATCCTTTTATAGGCGAGTCAAGTCTGGGTATGTGTGCATTAATGCGTTCTGGACAGTACTTTTGTTAGTTGATTTGATATAGTGATTGTTTGGTAGGAATTTTGATAATTTTTTTTTTTTACCATTAAAGATAAAGTAAGTCCTACCTGTGAGAAAAGAATTCAAAAATAACGGCTGAAATAGTAAAATACGATAAAAAAATTGATTTTAATTGACTTAAAATCTGTACCAAACAAGCTTACAATATGAAATAAGCTATCTATTAAAAAAACTATACAAGTAACATGATTCATATAATAGAGCCCCAGTCCCAAGGGAAGGGGGAGGGCTGGGGAGTTCTGTGGATGGATTGTGATTGCCACTTATAGGGGTCCATGCCATCCCCGTGTAAGTAAGATTGACATTCATGTATACCAATTTGAGGTTGACTGCACAAATTGAGGAAATCTCTTTTGGACCAAGAGATCAGATAAATAGACAGGAAGATTCTATATAAGAGAATAAAAGGGTGAATTAACAAAGTTCCTTGTACGCGTTTTATCAACTCACAACATGGAAAGATGAACCAAAAAAGTCGAGGCTCGTGCTAAGGCAATACGAGGCATTCAAGATTAGTCAAAAGAACTTGAAACCAACTACGTACGGAGGCCAACCGAACCCCAAGTGGATAAGCTCAAGACATCTAGATAGGTGCAAACAGAACATCTAAACATTAAGCTCAACACGCACATAGACTAAATACCGCTTCCAACTTGACATGATATTCGTAACTGATATGACAGTCAGAGTGAAACTGATTACACCTACCCCTAATGGCAGAGCTCACAAACCTACGACTGTTTAACAACCAATCCTTCTGCCTCAAATATTGTTCATACAATGTCAAAGTCAAAGTTTACACAGCACAAATGTTTTCCCTACATCAAATATCCTTTATAAAAACACTGTATATCAACCAATTTTATCTTCATTCACTAGTCCACTTGCTTGGAGGAGATTTCCCTCACCAAAAACATGAAGGATAAGGTCAGCAAAAAAAAAAAAAAAAAAAGGGTTTTAATTAATTGAGGGCAATCAAATTTTCAATTCACTATTAATATTCCACTGAGAAGTGCAGAATAACTATAGGTCTATATGAAGTTTCTCACAGCAAAATGCAACCACAACAGGTCCTGCCAAATCCCCCAATGCACAACCTGCAGAAAATGCACATAATGCAGTTCATTACTTGTTCATCACATTTTAGAAGAAATCTTGACATAAATTCGGACCAGTCAATTGCAAAAATACAAATTATACAAATGTTAATGCATGTCAAGTCCCTTACCAATCCATTGACCCGCTGAAGGACGAAACAGTGCAGCTCCGATACCGGCCCCAACCGATGCAAATATAAGTGACGAACCACATCTTATAGTGACACCATAAACCTTCTTTCCAAGAATTCGAACTTGTTCTGCTTTGTCAACCTCACTGGTCTCCTCTTCGGATTTAGACACAGAAGAAAAGAATCGATAAATATCAATTCCGACTTGGACGAGCCACGATGCTAAAATTCCAAGGAAGTGTCCTGTTAAATATGAGCAAATGCATGATCAGGAGACGAGGTTTAAAAATATAGAGAATAAACGTAGAAATCAGTCAGGAGATGAGGTTTAAGACAACAGAGCGAATAAGCATAGAAATCAATCAGTGATGTGACCTCTGAAGGTTGTTCTGCTAACGCTGAAAATGTATATTGGAGTTGACATTCCCCTCTGAGCCTTGCGCGTGGCTGATTTTGGAACATCTGGACAGGTTGACTAATAGTATTAGGCTGGTTATTGGTTAACAACATAAATCCATAGTACTCGGATCTTTAACATTATTGAATGCAATATACCTTTGAGGAGTTTCCAGGCCATACGCTGAGAGATATAATGAACTGCAAGTCTTTCAAGAATGCGTCTTGTGGTTAAGACGGTGCTCTGGACCATAGTACACAGTTACTTTTGTGATTGCTTATAGGATGTATATAAAGAACTGCACAATTTCCAAGCAATAATGAAGAAATAAAAAACCCAGCAGGCTAGTGAATGTGGAGAACTAAAGGAAAATATCTATTTTGGGGTCAGGTTTAGAAAATATCAAATGTAAAGACATATAGGCAGGGAGTTCAAAATAATTAACACAAGAAAGCACTAGGATTAAATCAACTGGCAGAGAACCTTTTTTCCTCGAAAAATGTGAGATGAGGAAGGCCTCTGTAGTTTTATGTGGTTTTAAGATCTTACAATAAACTTACTAAAGTAGAAACGAATCGTAGCTAGCTTATATCTACGGGAAATATCAAGTATTAAACAAATATATTGACTGAAATGAAGCATGGGTTTCCAACAATACATGAAATATCAAAATTGCATATGTTCACTACTATATGTTTCGTCAACGTAAGATTGAATGCTTTTATTCTGCAAAACTAGCATAACAGCAAACAGATATTCCTATTGTCATCAAATATGGCCTAGACTCCAATTACTCTTGCAATAGAGATACCATGGCACTCGAAGAGGGAGGAAATGATAATCGAAGCACGCCAGAAGCAGATTCTAAGACATGTTTAAGTAATGCAACCTGGTGAAATTATATTTTAATAGTACTTGCATGTTAATCACTGTCTAGAATCCATGGGTACAAGCAGAATACAAATATAAATTTACAGCTGAGAGTAGTTCAGAAGATACAAGCGTTAGATGTTATGCATAGCTGCTTGTGTGTCAGTGACGAAGGTTTTGTTGTAACGTCAATAGTACAAGAGTACCGTAGGCCACATAATCACCCCCCTACCTCCAAAACCCTTCCACTGGTAACCCAACCCCAAGACATGTACAGACTACCCCGACACTATACTAATTGGTCATGCCATTGTCCCTTGTTTGATGTGTCCAATCTAAAAAAACCCTGATTTGCGTCTAATTTATGGAAACTTCAATATTTATGGAGATGATCAAAGTAATAGCTACGCATGTGATAATTAGAATCACAAATGGACAATAGGAGTTTTCATACCTCGTTGAGGAGTAAGAAGAGGTCTATGATTGTGTTCAGAATTCACAAATAAAAAAGGGCCGCCATATATTAAAAACCCAATAGAGATAAGTCTTCCTCACTTGTCATACAAGCAAAATTACATAACAAAAGGGAAATCAATTATGCCTCCTGATTTTTCCTTAAAATCATAATACAAAACAAATATAATATGGGAACACCCTTAAAATACGACACATTTCATAAAGCCAACACATCCTGTCACTGGAAAATTGGATCCATGCATACATTGTTACAGCCAGAACAGCAGCCTCAAGTGCATAATGTATATTAATACAAGCAAATGGCATGGATATTCCTATGTCATCCATAAAATCTAATTAAACATCAACATAACTATAGATCGCAACAAAAAACAAATAAACCGAGTTCTTGTGACAAAAATGGCTACAACAATTGCTACTTACTTAATATTTTATTACATCCTGTCAATAAATCGAGACTCACAAATTTTCACCAGTGAGTTATTTTGACAGCAGACAACTTCATCTTTTCTATTCAGCATGGCATACCCAACAAGTTTTAATCAATCTCATGACATTATGAAGTAACATTTCTTCGTGTAAAATAACAGCAATGAAGAACAAATGCATCCATGATAACAAGTACATGTTCTTCAGCAACAACAGTTTAAAATGGCAAGGAAGAAATCTACTGTTAACAATTGCACCATTCTTCTCCAACCAGCCCACAATCTATAATACTGGCAATTTAGCTAAAGCAATAGTATCAATAACAAACCAGAAATTAATGAAAGAAGATGGAAAAATAAGAAAGTACGGTAGATTCACCTCGCGAACGATTTGCTTCACCGATTTTTTGAAAGGCACGACCAAATCTACATGGCGCTCTCCTTGAGTTTCCTGTAGAAAATCTTCATCTTCGTCGTCATCTTCCATATTTGTACGGGGCTCAATGAGAGGCAAATAGAATAACAGGAACGACCTCAGGGATGTCAATGCAAGAGTTCTCCAGTGAAATGCCGAGAATAAAGGTTTCAACTCAATACTGTACTCCTTAGTATTATAATTCAAAGAATCCTTCAGAAAGATATTTCCAGATGCTGTCCGTAGACTAGAAATGTAATCTTCGTTTAGTGCTGAACCAGCATCGCAGTGAGCAACTCGTGACACACTGTCACTGTACCGTGACCATCATATGAAAAGAAAAAATGGTCAGAAACTATGGATGGAGTGCCTTAATCCACACCCCAGGCCCACAAGTATCAATCATATTCTCATGCCACTAAGTAACTCAGTTCCCCAAAAAAAAAAAAGTGAAATAGAAAGAAAGAAAAGCTCTTTGTAGTTAAATCAAGTTTAAATTATAATTTCCATGCATCATTCCCCCTCTCCTAGATCACAGTGCAACATACATTGACATATCAAGTAGTTCTGCACTAAATAGAAAAAAATATGACATGACAAAATGCTATACAGAGTAAAAAGACACTTTGTCCACTGAAACTGAACCACGTAAACTCCAAAACTCTTTTGGAGCTCCCATATTGCCTTCTAGATCTTACTAATCCTGTGATACACCACACTATACATTTTCTTTAAACATGCTTAGCTAAGATTGTCGGCTATGACCATTCTCAAAGACACGGTGCTTGTACTTTGACACATGCAAACAAAAACGAAAAATTTATCCACGTTCAGGTAGACGCAAGGAGCAGATTTTGACATATGCATGCAAGCAAACAGGCATACACTAATAAAAGAATCAATTAACATTACTTGGATAGCGGGCACATAAGATCAACCCAAAAAAATCTACTAAAATTTCAGAACCTCCTTTAACCAGCCACGAGAATCCCATCAAATTGTTGTGATTTTGTCCAACTATTGGTTAACATATTTAACAAATACATATTAAGTTTCGTCTTAAATAAAGGAAGTGCAGTTTTAGAAAATGAGTAAACAAAGAAAGAAAATACATGAAACAAGTTAATCATATATTCCATGCTTTTACACGTTTTGAAAAAATTCAATTTGGCATATTCCATCAACTTTGGGTCTTTCAAAAAATGAGGTAGGTGCACGATCAATCGTAAAAATATCACAGATAATACAGTATCGTTAATGACAATTAAAATGCATGCACAAAAAGAAGATATGAAGAAAAGCATACATGGTTATGTAACTTATGTTAACAGAAAGATAGCACTACAGGCAAAATGAGTGCTGCCAGCAACAGGAGTTGTGCTACTAGTAGCAGCAACTGTTGTTAGTAAGTAACCATAAATTAAAATTTTGCCTAACTTGTCTCAGCATTCCCAAGACTACCCTGATATTCAATTACAATCAATGTATTCTTCCATCCACGTAACTATTAGATAGTTCTATCTGTTTACTCCAATCTAGTAAAGCATTCATCATAATTCCAGGCACCAAAAAGTTGATTGCTCAACGATGATCTGAGGAAATTTTCAAAATCCTCGAACTAGAAATAGATACATTTATCCGCAGCATAAATTATTTTATCTGGTCCATAGAATGTCATAGCAATAAGAACATATATAAATATAAAAACCCCATCCATTTGTTCAAGTAAACACAGGAGCACGAAATAATTACCCGAAGAAAGCCCTGGCAGCGAAAGGGGTTCCGGCGGCGACAGATGCCGCGGCAGCTGAAGCGGCGACAGTAGATGAAAATAGACCGGAGGAATGAAGGGTTTGGCCATTCAAGCCCGGATTCTTCCTCAATAGATCTAGTACAATTGCAACTCCCGCCATCTTCGTCGATCAATTCAAGAAATTAGAACTCGATAAGGCTGATGGAGATAATAATTACTTACAGCATGAACAAGATTTCAATTATTTTTGAAGTATTTTCTGAATGAAATGGAGTGTGTGTAAGAGTGACGTTTAGGTGTGTGGAACTTGCTGAGTGGAAACTGGAAAAGGTGTCTGAAAGGTACTGGGCCAGTGGTCTTGGGGTGTTATCTGTTTGGGTCAGGGCGGCCTGGCCCAATCCTTCTTCAGCCATGTATCAAGTGTATTCTATTGCAATGTTCTTGAAAACATAAAACGTGATTAAGCGTAGAAGAGACGAAGTTGTAAGTTTTCAAGCTTAAGCGAGTCTAAACGAGGTCTGGGTGCCGCCCAAACGAGCTTTTTAGAACACTTTTGGATGTGAAAGAAGTTAAACGACATTTTATGACGATATTAAAAATGTTTTCTTGCATTCTCAAAATCATACTAACCTCCTTTATTTCTAATTTTGATTATCATGTATACTCTGAAGTGAGGTAAATATAACTAAAATGCTTTTGTGATTAAGAAGATGAAATTTCTATAATTATTTCCTTTTATAGTCAAATTATTGCTTATAGACTTTGGACTCACAAATTTAGACATAAAATTTGCTGAAGAATGCGGCTCCAATGGATTCCCTTAACTAAGTCATTGTCTATGAATCGTCGGCCAACAGGCACATGGTCATTAACCAGGCGTTTTCCACTTCTTTGGAGCTTAAGGTTTAACGTCTAATTTCACTCTCCAACGGAACCTTTTCATCATTTCCTCATTACAGAGGACGATGCTACCATATTGAGCCCATTCCTGGATAAACATATCAATATATCTATTATGTAGTTTATTTTTCAGACCTTTTTGAAAAAGGTTCCATTACCAACATGTTTACATCCATGCGATATGATTAACATGTTCCAAATTTTAGATCTATACCTTTATAGGCATGGTTACGCCCCTCAATAACTCACTTCGGTGCGTCATACATACTTTCTAGGGAGGCACCACGTGCCTAGTCGAAGTGGTTCCGAAGTGATATGAGTTCACCACGCATCGGCCGAACCCCAATGTTAACATGCTACGAGGCACAATCATCACCTAAAGTGATTGCCGAGGCGTCCACCCCCTTCACCAAAGTGTAAGGGATTCAAGGCCTCTCCGCCGCCAGTTTCAGATATGTATCTTTGTGTCAAGATCCTCTTTTATTTTTGTGGATTAATTGATGTGACATCTCAACTTTACGTCAACTCATAATTCGGACGAATTAATTACTCGCCCCCTCTAAATGCGGCTGATTGACGCCTACTTGCAGACGTTCACACCGTCAAATGCATAATGTGTCCTACATCAAACGGTGCCTACTATTTATAAATCCCGAAAATTTGGCAAGGGACAAAGGTAATGAAACTCTTACTAAAACAACTTGGCACTCTACACAAAGTATAATCTTTTCTCCTCCCACTCTTGCACAATTCTGATCATCGTGTACTGATTTGATCGTTGGAGTGTATACGGCCACCACCACCCCATTGGTTCCGACTATGTACGTCTGATTGTACGTTATTGTGCACAGGGAAGGATACGTGGAGTGACTCTCGATTGGCCACGAAAAGGTCCAAATCGTGAGGTCGACACGCACCATCCCCTTGGGAGATGAATAAAATTAATAAATGAACCTCGTTTTAGCGATTGCTGATAAGTGCTTGGAATAATATCTAAAAATGTAAACATATCCGAAAAATTTTAATATTTATAAATTTATGAACTAAAACAAGATGTCGGGTGTAAACATATACATTTTGTGGTTCGAGTAAATTTTAGCTAAAAATAGTACGTGTAAGTTGTTTGCATATAATCATTCTTACGTATTTAATTTTTTTGGTTGTATTCTTATATTAAACCTTTCAATAATTAGTATGTATTGTTCACAATGACCTTTTTTGTCAAAAAAATTCATCAGAAGTGCATAAAAGATCTTACTTGCCTCTCATATTTTAAAATAATCAAAAGACGACGGGAAATACAAAAAAATAAAAATCCACCAATATATTTGTCATTTATTTCAAAGCATGCTAATTTGCGAATAGAAGCTTTAGACAAAACTGTCATTAAAGACAAGGTGACGAGTAATCGAATGTAATAACATAAATGCAACGGAAAAAACAGTTGAGAACATAAATTCAACAACGTGCAAATACGAGTACCTTATTGTTGTTAAAATAATGTGCAATAAACTGATTTTTCTCTTATTAAAGTGCTTTAAATAATTTTATATTTATTTTTTCCCTTATTTAAAATACAAGAAAAAATAAATCTTTTGTTTTTTTTTTCCCTATCTTGACGAAATCTTTTAGCAGAAATCGTGATAACGAACACTTGTGTTGATTTTCAGAACGAGAATTTGATGAAAAAAATTAGAGACATGAATATGATAAGGGGTAGATTTTTTGAACCTTTCATGCAATTATCTAAAAAATGTGCTGTGTATTTTATGTGCCATCTTAAGTAGCTGGAAAAAAGATTACTTTTTAATGATTAATAACAAACCATACCATGTACATTGTACATTTATGATTTATACAGCAATTTACATGCTATTTTTTTAAAATTATTTTTTTGTTATTCGGCGCTGAAATGACACATTGTCCTTCACTGCTGAAAGATGTGGAGACCTTTTTATTTCTTCATATACCTCTTCTTTCAGATAGTATAATCTAAAGTTCTATCAATTTCTCTTCATGGTATCGTATTCGTCCCATTCAAAATTTAATTACTAGTTTTCACGATGTTTGAAAATTGATTCTTTTTCTCATAATATTTATTATGCGCCTCTTCCTCGATTTTTAAGTAAATAGATAACAAAATAAACTTTAATAAGTTTATAATGTGTTGAAAATTAATAACAACTTCATTTCAAATTTTCAACACCGTAAAACAAAAAGTAAAATCTGTTGTCACATTCTAATTAAAATGTCCTGTCCATTGAGTAAAAATTAGAAAAATCATGAAAATAGTCTTTTATATTAGTATTTTGTAGCTTAAAACAATTTTCTTATTCAATTTAAATTGGATTAATAGCTTTATGTCATTCAAAAGACATAAAAACTACTTAGAAACGTATGCATAAATCTCTCTCTTTTATTATCGCATTGTTTAATTTAATCAATTATATTTCATATTATCTGTATACAATTTAAATTTGAAAAATATAAAAATATGATAAATAAAAGAATTCGGATGAATTTGATGAATTTAGAGCAAGACACTGCGAGACGAGATGGGATCAATTTTTTTTTGTAAATTTCCCTGTTCTTTGTTGATAGTACATGTGATTTTTGAAAGAGTAATGCTAGTAGTCTTTTTGTTAATAAGCGTCATTAAATAAAAAGTACAATTAAATTAATCACAATTTTTTTTTGTTAGTGTTAGAAAAAATATTTTATGGTAAACAAGTAATTTAAGATAATTAGGGGTCAGAATAGAACAAACTACAAATTTTAGAGGCTAAAACGCAAAAAAAAATGGAAAAATTAAATTGAAATAGCCAGTGCTAGGGTTTTTCTATTCAACATAAAGCCGCCGTTACCTCTTCCATTATTAGGTTTACGAAAAATTGTGTATATATACGCGTGTGCGCAGAGCACAATCTCGTGTGTTCAACGCCAAGAAAACTACTGATTAGAGGATTTGAGGAGAATTAGAGATGGCTTTATCTTTCATGAGGCAGACAGTAAGTTATTTTCCGAATCGTAATTTATGAAAATTTTCAATTTTGAAGGTAGAAATTTGAGAGTTTTGGGAAGTGATGATAATCTATATCTATGTATATCAGAGGCTCAGCCCGTCTGTGCATTGCTGAACAGATATTTTGCACGTCAGTCTGATCCCAAACTCTCAATATCGAGGTGTAAAGTTTTGATAAATCTGGAATGGATTCAATTGCACCATGAAATTTGGACTTAAAATATCGAATTAAATGTTTGGTAAAAAAAAAAAAAAACACTTGTTTTTATGCAGAATTACTCTGAACTGACTGACGAGTCCTAATTTTGTGGAATTTAAGTTACTTGTTGGACTTAACTTTGGATTAACATGGTGGATTCAACTAACAGCGTTGATTCAATTTTACAGGTTGGATGCATAGATTGCTGCAGCTGATCGGATTTTTGTTGTGCATTGAGATTCAAGTTCTGGTTAATAATTGTTTCCTAAGAAGAAATAATCACAGAACTTAAATCTCTATAAACGGTGACTCCTTGTAATTTGGTGTTATCGAAGAATTGTTTTTTTGCAAAATTGTACAAATTATTATTAGAAAACATCAAACTACAATGTGTAATTGGAGCCTTAACGAATCACGTTTGTTATATAATCGAATAGATTTTGATATCGCGAATTAAAATACAGTCCATGTTTGAATTTTATTATTTCAAAACTTATTTTTTCAAAAATTGCTATTATAAGATTTATATTTTAAACAAAATGGGGATTAAACGAAGGCATATTTTCATTAGCGGATCAATTTTGATTTTTAATGTGATTCGTGTCGAAAGTTGATAACGTGAAGAAATAATTATCATCCTTCAAAATCATTGACCAAAGTGCAATTCGTATAAAGTATTGAAAATAATTGAACATAATAAATAATATTTTAAATCTTTTTATTTACCTTGAAAAGTTAATCCCGTTGATTCAACAACTGGCCAAATGTTATCAGCAAGATCACACCAAATGCTTTAGCAAGATCAACATTGAATCATTTGAGCACGAGACGTATAATATGTTTGGTACATTGTATAGTAAAAATTATCTCATTCAATATCGATTAATAAAAGTATTTAATGTCACTTGTATATTAATAAAATTTGGGGGCGAGCATAGATAATGAGACAAAGTCGTGGGTCCTATGTAATAAAGATAGTTAAAGACACCCTAAGGTATTAATGATTAATTTTTCTTATTTATTAATGTTATAATTTTTAGAATATTTGCTTCCGTCACTTCCAAATTAAAAATCTCTTATTTCCTCACATTAGAATTTTCGTTTTTTTTTTTTAATAAAAAATGCATTTAAATTTTAGGTGGGATTTTGCTAAATTACAAGGGCACTTTTGTAAGACAAATGCAAGTTTTATAAGCAAAATATTGTAAATTGAGTGAATAATATTAAATGTACGTTCATTTCCTTACATTGATTTTGACATCCTCTTTGTTTTCAAAAAATTGTTTTTTTCTTTCTAATAATGTGTTGTCGCGTGACATAATATAAACAATGATGTAAAAGATGATGTACATGTAACATAATTGATCGAGAAATATTTAATGTTTAATTTGTTTGTTAAGAAAGAATAAATCCACTTGTACATATTTAAAAATAAGAAGGGAAGAGACAGACTAATGTGTTCGAAATGATTAGATGTTTTTGCTTTAATTTTTTAAGCTGTTCAATCATGCGTCTACATATGTCCCTTTTGAATTTCAATTTGAGTTTGGATATGTAGCACGATTGTTTTGGATGGTTTCTATTCATCCTGGTCGTTAAAGTATATCCATTTTTAACTAAAAGATGCTTATACCCTTTACCCACTTATACTTAAAGGTTGACATGTTCTAAATTCTTGATTCTTATTTTCTTTTGCAGTCATAATAAAAAATTCATATATAAAAGAGATAGAGTAAGAAATATCGCGTAAAAGAGAGAGAAAAATAAATCCATATTTGGTAGGGATTAAATTTAAAATTTTAATTTAAGTCAAAGCCAACAATTGATTTTAACTACATATTTTATAGGTTTCACAATTTTTTTTATCATTTTTTTGGTTGTTAGAATGATAATTGATAGTATTGGTACTGTATTTTGAATAGTAATTTTTTGGAGCATTTGTGATTAAAAAGTAAGAAATTTTTTTTATTAGCGTGTGAAATATTTTATTGTGTGATTGAGAAATTAAAAACGTGTATGAGAATTAAAAAAATTGTGGAAATTACATAGAATCCTACTTTTAAAGATTTCATTTCATAAATCATATGCTAAGTTACTATTTTAAAAATCGGTTGTTTTGTTAATTAATAGATTATCATTAGAAATTAATTATTTATCTACTTTTCCTCATAGTCGCTCTCTACTCTCTCATCCTCTCTCCGTGCTCTAATTAATTGAAATCAATATCTGTAAATTGTCATAATTCTCCACTGCAAATGGATTCGCTATCTGGAAGTGCACACCACAACCTCTTTGCGCCCTAACTCAGTGGGATTGTGGTGTAGCCGTGTAGAGGTGTAGAGCTGCTCCGATGAGGTGTTATGAGATTGTTGAAGAGGATGAAGGTGGCGTAACAGATTCGTGGAGTAACTTCTAGCCAGGTGAAAAATATTGGCGGCGGACGAAGATGGTTGTGGTTTTGGATCCGCCATGGTTTTGAAATAATTTTTCTGATGGTTTTTGGGCGTGAAGATTTGATTGATTTTTGTTTGTTGGTGGTAGTGGTCTCCATAATATTGCAACGTTGGGGTAGGTTTATTGGCGGTGACGGTGATAGATTGGGAGCTGCTGATGGAGGATCTAAAGTTGGTGGGGGTGAATTTGGCTGTGCATCTGGCGATGGTGGTGATGATAGTCGTAGCGATGACGATGGTGGTCTAGGAGTGGTTGGGGGTGGGGGTGGTTCTTGCGACGACAATTTTGATGGCGATGCGGTTGGTGACAGTGGTGAGGTGGTGGTCACAAATGGTTTTGTTGACCACGACTACTAAATTGGTTAATTTGTGACCAATAAACAATATGTGACAACTGAAAATATAAATTGTGATTAAGAAATAATGTATGAACTAAAAATTTGTTAATTTGTGGTTTGTGATCGATAAATAATTCTTGACTTAAAAATTTCTAACTTATGATCGATGTCAAATTGTGATATATAAAATTTTTGAATTATGACCATAAAATAATTTGTGACACATAAAAATTCTGATTTTGTGATCGAAAAATAATATGTAACTAAGTAAATCGTTAATTTGCAACCAAATTATATAGATATGTGAATTTAATATATTTAATTGATGAAATATATAATTAATTAATAAAATTTAATAAATTTTTTGAAATTTGAAATTTTTGTTCATAATTTTGAAATGAGTGATAGTTAATTTCTTAATGATGAATTTTGAAAGGAGATAAATGGGCTCAATAACCTTAGCCAAACGTGCTCGGCCCAAAGGTAAAATTAGTTTGGGCTTCAAGTTGGGCCTTACCTATCTACTGTCTGAACGACGTCGGCAAAAACTAGCCCGGCCCGTATTCACAGCTCGCTACATTTACCGGTAAACAACAATGGTGGATTCAGCTCCCATTTTGTAAAACCTAAATCCCATCCGATCGAGAAGAAGAAGATGAATACAGACATTACGGCATCGGCGAAGCCGGAATATCCAGTTGTAGATCGGAATCCTCCCTTTACGAAGACGGTGGCCAATTTTAACACCCTCGATTACCTCCGTCTCACCACCATTACCGGCGTCTCCGTAGTTGTCGGCTACCTCTCCGGTACTCCTATTCATTCCTCATTTCTGATTCGTAATTAATTGTGGATAATGAACACTGGAGGTCACCAACTTCGAGCCAAATTTATAGAACTCCATACCTTAAAAGTCTTGGCAGCAGAATTCTGTTTCTAGGAATATTTTATGAATTCCTTTCCATTTAGATCTGTTAAAAAATCAATTCTAGCTCCTCAAAAAAAATTTTCTTTTCCAAACTCACCTGTAAAGTTTCTATTTTGTTTGTTTTTTTTTTTTTTTCCTACATGATAGGTATTGATGTGTCAACTCTTCTTGATGGTAGTTCACTAGAAGCTGATGAAACAAGACACGAAATTTGTGCCATTGAAATGAAAAATTTAACATATGCTCCTGTTATCTAAGCAGGAAGTTCACAAGTTGAAAGGCATGATTATTGCAAAAGTGGATAAGACTACTAACAATCCCCATTAACTTCCGCATTGTACACGTAAGAAAATTCAATTTTTGTGAAGGAATGTTATTGATGATCAAATCATCAAACTGAAGATTTGGTGATGAGTTTGAAATTAAAAGAAAATAGCTGAGGGACTTAAACCCAATTGATTGATTATTCAAAAAGATGTGTTGTTGATTGTCTTTTTTCTTTTGAAATTGATACTAGGAATTAAGCCGGGGATAAGAGGGCCATCAATGGTGACAGGTGGTTTGATAGGGGTGATGGGAGGTTTCATGTACGCGTACCAGAACTCAGCTGGGAGGCTCATGGGATTTTTCCCCAATGAAGGCGAGGTTGCCAAGCACAAGAAACATTCATTCTAGGGATTATCTGACACTTTCTCTTTACATAATTTTGACGAGAAACTTAGAAATCTTGGGCATGTTTCTATATTTTTAAGCTCATTTATGTAAGGATTTGCAAGTTTTCATGCTACTCTCAATAACCAAATTGAAAAATGAATCGCTCATTTTGAAAACGCTTGTTATTTCTATGTGTAATTGCTGAACTACTTTGCATCTTGAAATCTGATTTACTCTTCTATATTTAATTGCTCTTTGTTAGATCTCCAATGTTTACTTTCTCTGAATTTATTGCCTAAGGTTTATTTACCAATCCTTGCAATGTTGGTGATGATATTAGATTATGATGAAAGTTCATACTTAGTAACTTTGTAGCTATCCTTTTTCTTGACACTGAGACATAATTACTGCTCTTTGATGCCTGCCATCTTTTATCGTGGTTATGGCAATATTGTCTTAATGAGACATTCTTGCCAAGACAATATTGCCAGTCGAGTTCTTGATGTTGACATAGTGAGTAATTGCTGAAGAATATCGTGGGCAAGGTCATATGATTCTGTTTGAAGGCTGTTATTAGTGGAAAAAATCCCTCGTCTAGTGGATAAGCTGCTTAGAAAGTTAAAGATTTTGCTATAGAAAACTGCTTGATGGTTTGCAATTGCTGAAAACATCTCAAATGGGAGACCTACCACTATACCTCTCAAGGGTATAGCGGAATACAAAGCCCTTATCTGCACAGTTGATACACTCTTAGATAGAATTTGATTTCTCATTAACATTTTCGACTCTGTTTAAAAGATAGTTCTTAGATAGAATATGATCTTATCATTTAACATTCTTTTGGAATTCTGCTTTTACATTAATTAAGATTATTGGACGTTAGCTTCACGTCGGTAGTGGATAAGTGTTGCAAGACAAAGGTTTTCTAAATGTGCTAGTGAGGCGTGTGTCTCTTTCTTTTTGGAATCGAACCTCAAAATGGATAGATTGGATCGGCCTGGCTTCGGGCGCTTGATCGAATAAATCTTTTAGGAAATGTTTTTACCTGATATTTGAGATCTTTTAGGAAATGGCTTCTATTCTTGGTTAATCCTCATTCATTGTGAATCGTAAGTGACACAAGAAAGTTTCTTTGTATAGGAAACTACTAGGTTTATTAATTTTTACTATTTATTTGAAGGTAGTTTTGTTGAGGAACGGAAATGATGGGACAGTTCTAAAATAAAGTTCGGGAGCATTTGATTGCGAGCATGGAATTTGCATGGAAAAAAAATAAAATTCTATGTAATTCAATTGCTTAGAATCTATTTATATGGAAATTATTACTTAAATGTGTTTGATTGGTTTAGTTTTCAACTTAAAAAATATTATACTTATCTATTTTTTATTGGTGGATAGATGAGAAAGAGAAAGAGGGAGTGAATTATCTGGAAAATAAAAATCATTAATCCCTAGAGAAAATATTTTCCTTATTTTGGAGGAAATTATGGTCACAAGACGGAAAACATGAACACATGACTAAAAATTAAAAACTATTTTTCATAAAAAAATTGTCTATAAAACACTTCAAAAATAGGAATTTGAGTAAAATAATATTTTTGATGAAAGATAAAGTCAATGAAACACACTCTTTGCATGCTTGTCTTTTACTATGTTCAATGAGGACGGCTAGGTGAGTGGAATTGTTGGTG